CCAATCTCTCTCTCTCCCCCCCACCCCCGCCTCCCTTTCCTACCTGCAGGACCCTGATGGCGTACCAAAGAAGGCGAACATTCGGGATAACCACGATGGCACCTACACCATCTCCTACGTGCCCGCCGTCACTGGCCGCTACACCATCCTCATCAAATATGGCGGCGACGAGATCCCGTACTCCCCCTACCGCATCAGGGCCTTGCCCACCGGAGATGCCAGCAAGTGTACCGTGACCGGTGAGTGTCCACACCGTCACCGTCTCTCTCACTCTCACTCTCTCTCTCTGTCTCTATCGAACACGTTTGCCACGGCTCCCCACCCTCCCGTTTGTACCTTCAGCCCCCCCCAACCCTCAACCTCACTCCACAGTCCTCCCGACCCCCGACCTCCTTGCTCCTTTTGCACACAAATTCTCCACCACTTCATCTCGCTGCTCTCGGTTGTCTCGTTTCTCTTCCTCGTTAACTCTTTCTCTCTTTTGGTTCATGAAATGGTTTATTTTGTTTTTTGTTGAGCACCGTTTTTTAATCCTGTGTGTCTCACTTGATCTTTCCTTGCTCTCTGCCCTTTCACCTCAGTGTCAATCGGAGGTCACGGGTTAGGTAAGCTGCTTCGGCCTTGTATCGTGTCAAGTTTCCCCCCCTCCCCTCCTTTAACCCCTTCTAAAAGGATACCTCCTCGGGAAAATAAGATGCCTCTTTTTTTCTCCCCCATTCTATCCAAAACAATTTTTGAGCCTGTGCTGATCACAACCCTGTGTTTTTTTTTATTTTGGGCCAGAGGATCTCTGGTTGTCGAGTGACCGTCCTCCATGTTTAGTCGGCCATTTTATTCTGCCCACAAGCTGGCCAGTGGCCCCCCTTCCAATTGGCAAAGCCGATTGAGGGCTTCTCCCATGTACACCCCTCTTCTTCTATCACCGCCTGTAACTTAATTTATTTATTTTTATTTTTTTTTATTGGAGTTTTTTTTGTCAGTCAATAACTGTGAACAGCATTGGCCCAATCTCTGAAGGTCTTGCCAATGTCCGTTGTCAGCCATTATTGAGGTTTCTCTCTCACCCCACACACCCATCCTTTCCGTCGATGCATCTTCTCCCACTTGCCTCTAAATATCCTTTTGTATTTCTCTTCTGTATACTCTAGTGTGTTTTAAACGCCACAACTATCCCTCCCCTCAGTCTCTCTCACTGGATTAACCCTTGGTGATCGAGGGTTTGTAGGATGTTAGTTATACCATTTCTGCCCTCCACAAACCCTAGAGGAATTGCGGTGTCTCCTTTTACCAGGAAAAAATTCTGCTCCCCCCCCCACCACCGCCAACAAACTTATGCTCAGGAGATGGGTAATATAGAGGGATTCTGTCAGCCATCTTGCATAGGGGGAGGTCTGATGTGTGGGAGGGCCTGGAGAAATGATGGATGGGTTGGATGGTCAAAAATCTGGGACAAACAGAACATTGCACATGTGTTGGAAAATGCAGGCCGAATGGCTTTAATTTGTGTCTATGTTCCTCCTTTCTCTCCACATCACCCCCTTGTGTTGTCAGTTGGTTGAATAGCGCAAGATGGTGGTGGTGTCAGTAACGTCACTGGGATGGGAGTCTGAACACATCCCCCATCCTTACCTGATCTGGGCCTACACGTGACTCCAGATGTCCCCTTACCACCCCCACAGCAATGACTGTCACTCTGACTAGGCCCAAGCAAGATACATCAAGGGGGCATTTGGGTGTTGGGGGTGGGTGCAGAGGGACAGATCCTGGAGTGTTTGGGGGGATGATGGGGGTGGGGGGGTGGTCTGTTGGTATTGGTGTTAGAGGATTGCATTGCTGTCAGGGACACCCCCCCACTCCACTTATTTTGGAGTGAGAAGTAGGCCTCACTCCCACTTCCGGTTGCCCCAGAAGTGACACAGAGAGGTGAGGTTGCATTTTCTTCTTCTGAGAGAAATTCTTTCAAATTTCCTGTCTTCCACCAACACCCGCCCTCCCATGCGCCCCTCCCCCACAAAAATAAACCAACAAGATTGGGGTTTCCTTGAGCTGTTTGTCATTATCCCAAGTTGACCCTTGACCTCTTGCATTCCTTGGAACTTGACACTGACACTGGCAAGGCCTCCCCTTTTTATTTTTCTTGTTTGTTTTCTGTTTTTGTTTTGTTTTGTTTGGACCTTTTTCTGAAAAAAAAACAGTGCATGAGGTTCTGCCGTCATCTCTAACCTCCCTGTGACTGGTGCGGCCATCCATGGGTTTTTAAAGGTGGCCGCTGGTGCGCGCGTGTGTCTCTCTCTGTGTGTGAGTGTATGTGTCTGCCTGCATCTCATCGAAGCCTTGCTTCCTGCAACGTACTTCTCCAAACATCTCAGAACTCTGGTCTTTCGGGCGTCAATCATCTCCAAAGCTACACGCCCCCCCACCATCAACCACCACCACCACCAACCCCCCCACACACGCCACCCTTTTGCCCTGTCTCCTACTCCAATCTGGTCTCCTCCCCACCATGGCTATGACTTATTGGCAAACCCTGTAACTCCTCTCCCCGGCACCATTTTGTGTAGGAGTCAGAGTGCTGGTTGAAAACAATTGGAGTGCAGTCCCACAGCGAGGAATGGCGCTATTGGGAAAGGCAGAAGATGCAAGCCCAGGGGCAAACACGGCTCAGTGCAGAGATGGGAGCGGGGGCCAGATGGGAGAGGGAGGGGGGAGAGCCGCTTTGGAACTCAGCTTGAGAGAAACGTGCAGCGACCCTGGGCAGGTTTGTCCACCACTGTTGGAGGAAGCAGCTAACAGTTAACATGCGTGGGATCTCACCGTCTGTTCAATGGAGGCATTGGTGGCAAGAATAGGGACGTTACTCAGTGCCTGAGGAGCCAGACATCAAGGGCCTGGTTTGCGGTTGAGGAGATCAGTTGCGGAGGGTGCGAGGGGGTTTTCCCCCTCGTCCTACCGTGAGTGTCTCTGTTCTCAGGAGTGGGGTTTGGTGAACTGGGGAGATATTGGAGGATGACTGGGATTTGGCCAGAATTGAATCCGATTTGAGGGGTAGAGGCTGTTCCCATTTGCTGAGGGCACTGGGGTAATGGCAGTGGGCTGGAGGTGTGGGCGGCACAGAAATTTGGAGCGGGGAGCCCCTGGTTTTCGTGAAATGATGTCCAAATGGGAAGAGGCAGCTTGGAGCATATGGGTCAAATGGCCAGGTCATGTGGCCATAAGGACTCCACACAGGGGTTTGGTTGGAGCGGAAGGGCACTGAGAGAGATTTGAGGTGTGCGGGAGGTAGGGGTGAAAGTTTGGGATCTTGCCCACGAGAGTCACCAAATCTCTTATCCCATGTTTCTGGAAGCGGGATAGCAGACGCCTGTGCGAGCAGGTCTGGTGTGTTTGGAGGTCGTTGTCCCACCCGTATTGAACACCAAACACCCCACCCCAACGTCCTCCCCATCCCCTACCACTCCTGCATGCTTCCCCTCCTCTGCTGCTATTGGCTGCAAACTAACCTTCGACCTTGCCATGGCTCCCACTGGTGAATGGAGGCTTGCTGTAATTGGTGCTTGGCTGGCAGTAGTGATGGGCTCTTGGTTTGCTGTATCGGATTGGACACGGTTCGAGTGGACACTCGCCCTTGGGCGATCTCGGTAGGCGGGAGGGGGTGACTGGAGGGTTTCAGGGTGGGGTGGGTGGTGGGGGAGGCGGTGACCGGAGTTGGGGAATGGAGGGAGGAAACGGTTGAGGGAGGTGCACATGAAGAGTGTAGTGAGGTTCTGTGCCCCCATCCCCCTCCCACCCTTGAACCCAGGTCACATTGAAGGACTTCAGGTCAGAAAACATGTAGACATTATTCCTCAAACCCCGCCCCCCCACCCCCAAATCAGATATTACCCTCTGTCTTGGATCTTAGACCAGGGGAGAGTTTGGGGAGCGGGGTGCGGGGGTGGGGGAGTGAAACCAGCAGCCCCCTGAGCTGCGGATTTCGGGAACAGTTACTGAGCCTCTACAGCATTGTTCCTTTGCTGTTTCTACTCTTGGTGGGGGGGGTAGTTAGGGGTTCGGGGGGGTTGAAGCGAGAACAGAACTGCCTGCCTGGGTTGGGGGAGGGGGCGCCCATCACCACCCACACTCCCCTCGCCTCCAGCACCTACCGAGATGTCAAGGGCGCGTGGAGTGGAGGCTTGAGCATGTGGGATCTTTGCATTGTCCGTCTGCTCCTGGTTTTTGTGTCTGGTGGAGGTGGGGGCTGGTGGGGGAGGAAGGAGCTGGCTCAATGGTAGACGCCACAAACCAAAGCACCCCAACCCCACCCATCCAATTCCCCGGGGGTAAACTGGATGCTGACCTGTAAGGAGGACACTCACCGTTTGAACGGAGCAGGTGAGTGGTGCACCTCATCACCCCAGCGGCAGAGGGGGATGATGGGGCGGGATAGGTGTGAAGATTGGATGAGACTCTTGCCCCAACCCCTTACCCCTCAGTGTTGGTAATCATGGTGAAGTGGACTGATCCTTGTGTTCAATTTTGTCAGGTGATAGTGGGAGGAACACTGCTCCACCCAGACCTAGGTCAACCTGCCTGTCCGTCAATTTCCTGAGCTCCTGTTGAGCCAGTTCCTCACAGGGTAGGGGTGGGGTTTGGGGGTGCATTTGTCATTTTTCTTTTGTGTGTCTCCAAGTCTGAAGGGTTATATATTTAAAAAACGTGCTTCTCTCTTCTTGCCTCTATCTCTCCAATTCTCTCCCTTGTTCTTGCTCTCTCTCCCTTTCTCATTCTCTCTCTCTCTCGCACTCTCCTACTCTCACTCTCCCCTCATGTCTCTTGCGCTCTTATTCTCTCTTACATTTACCCGTCCCCATACTTCCTCTCCTCACCCCCTTTTTCCTTCCTCCCTCTCTCTCCCCCTTCCCTCTTTTACTCTTCCCCTTCCCTCTCTTTTCTCTTTCCTCCCTTCCCCCCCCAATCCTCTCTCTGCCACTTCCCTCCCCTCTCCCCCCTCCCCCCCCCCCACTTTCCACTCCCCTCGCCTTCTTCGTCTCTCTCTCTCTCTACCCCCCTCCCCCTCCCCCCACCTCTCCCGTGTCCCCGTCCGCCTCTCTGTTTTCTGTGGTGTTGGGGGTTGGGGGTGGGGTTCTGTAAACCCCTGTTACCAGGCACTGGCATGGGGCCGACCATTCAGATTGGCGAAGAGACCCTGATCACGGTTGATGCCAAGGCAGCAGGCAAGGGCAAGGTAACATGCACCGTGTGTACGCCGGACGGTTCTGAGGCTGATGTCGACGTGGTGGAGAATGAGGATGGAACCTTTGACATCTTCTACACGGCTCCCCAGCCCGGAAAATACGTCATCTGTGTGCGCTTCGGGGGAGAGCACATCCCTAACAGCCCCTTCCAGGTCACGGTGAGTAACCTCCCCTCAGAGGGCATGTGTATGGGTGAAGGGGGGGTATTGGGTATGTGTGTCCTGTCCATCTTGGAGCTATAGGGAGGGGCTGAATAGGCTGGGGCTATTTTCCCTGGTGTGTCGGAGGCTGAGGGGTGACCTTACAGAGGTTTATACAATCATGACGGGCATGGATAGGGTAAATAGTCGAGATCTTTTCCCCAGGGTTAAAACTGAGGGTTAAAGTGAGAAGGCAGAGATTTAAAAGGTTCTTTCACACAGAGGGTGGTATGTGTATGGAATGAGTTGCCAGAGAAAGTTGTGGGGGCTGGTACAATGACAACATTTAAAAGGCATCTGGATGGGAACATGGATAGGAAGGGTTTAGAGGGATATGGGCCAAATGCTGGTAAATGGGACTGGATTAATTTAGGATATCTGGGTCAGCACGGACAGGTTGGACCGAAGGGTCTGTTTCTGTGCTGTACAGCCCCAGGACTTCATTGAACGATGCCTGAGTTCACAATTATCCTGCTCACAAATCTCCTCTTCCCCCATCCCCCACCACCATAACTTTTCAACCCCCCACCCCAAAAAAAATGGGATGGATGGAGGAGCAGATGTCAGCCATTCAGCCCATCGAGTGTGTTCTGCCTATCGATGCGATCATGGCTGAACTGATCATCCTCAACTCCACTTGCCTGCCTGCTCCCCATAACCATTGATTTCCCGCCCCCCCCTTACAGATTAAAAATATCTCTATCACAGCTTTGAATATACTGAATGACCCAGCCCCAACAGCCCTCTGCGGTAAAGAATTCCACAGACTCACTCCCCTCGCCATCTCAGTCTCCAGTGGGCGACCCCCTTACTCTGAGATGATGCCCCTCTAGTTCTAGACTCTCCCACACAAGGGGAAACAACCTCTCCGCTTCTCCCCTGTCAAGCTCCTCCTAAGAATCTCGTCTGTTTCAATAAGGTTGCCTCTCGTTCTTCTAAACCCCAACAAGTACAGGCCCAACCTACTCACCCTCTCCTCGTAAAACGCAGGAACAGTCAAGTGAACCTCCTCTGGGCTGCCTCCAACGCCAGTCTGTCTTTCTGCGGATAAGGAGACACGAAACTGTTCACAGCATTGCAGCTGTGGCCTGTCTAACAAACTGAAGCATAATAGTTGGTGACTGTAACATAGAGCGTTAATGAGAGAAAACGTAGGAACTGAATAGCAGACTTACACCAGAACAGGTCAGAGAAGCTCCCCTCTGCTGGGGTCTGTCTCCTGAGGAGAGGGTGAGCAGGTTAGATCTGGTCCCATTGGAGTTTAGTAGAACGAGAGGGTGATAGCATTGAAACGTCACAGATCCTGAGGGGAGGGGGGGAATTGACAGGGTGGAGGCTGAGAGGATATTTACCCCACACCTCCCCACACTTTCGGAGGGAAACCAGAGCGAGAGAAAGGGGCATGGTTTCCGAACGTGGGTGACTCCCCATTGAAGACGGTGATGAAGAGGGGGTATCTTCTATCGGAGGGTGGGGAAGTCTGAAATCCTGCCCCCCAGAGAGCAGGGGTGTGGGTGAGGGAGACAGGGGCAATGGGGCAGTGAATATATTCAAGGCTGAGTTAGAATTTGGATTGAGAAGAGTGGTTATGGTTGGGTGGGGGGCAAGATGATGGTCAGCAAAATGGGGCTGGTACCACACACTCAAATCAGCTGCCATTGTGTTGAAAGAGGGTGGTGGGGGGGTAGCGGTGGTGGTGGGAAGGTCGAGGGGCCTGGGTGAGCGGTTCTCTCGATCCCTGAGTTGGGGAGGGAGGACCATGCCTGTGACTGGGTCGGGTTCCAGGTACAGATAGCTACGCTGAGGTCCAGCCTTACATGGAGGGGGTCTTTCTGGAGGAGGAGGCTGAGGGAAGGGAAGGGGAGGTTGGAGGGGAGCGAACCCACCTCCCCAGTGTGACGAGTTCTCTAAGCTGCTGTCCTCTCTTATTCCGTGACAGGCGACGGAAGGAGAAGGAATTACACCTCAACAGCTACAACAACAAAGGACAGCACCCAATTACGGATGGGTACTGCATCATTTCCTGTCTCTCTGCCCTCGTCTGTCATCGCATTAGTGCCCCTGCCCCCCAACCTGGACCGAAACCAGAGACCATCCCCTCCTTTGACCCCAGAATTGGGGCGAAATAGGAGTTGGAAAAGGGTGCTAGAACCAATGGGGAGATTGGCCTCCTCACCGAGCAGGGCCGCTCTAGCAGGAGTAGGTGGTCACCATGGCAACACCCAGACGGAGGCCGTTCGGCCCATCATGTCTCTGACTGTTCTGTTGGGGGGGTGTTGGGGGAATGGGGACCTGCCTCGGGGTCAGTTCAGAAACATTGGAATCTCCTCCCTTTGGGCATTTCAATATTCCAGTGAGTGGGATGGGCAAGGGGGAACTGGACCACATTCAGAGATGTTACAGAGGGAGTTTTACTCTGTAAATAACCCTGTGCTGTCCTCGTCCTGGGAGTGTTTGATGTGGGGGACAGTGTAGAGGGAGTTTTACTCTGTATCTAACCCTGTGCTGTCCTCGTCCTGGGAGTGTTTGATGTGGGGGACAGTGTAGAGGGAGCTTTATTTCCAGATTAAAAGAGCATGGGTCTCTATTGTTTTGGGCATTAATTTCCAAACTTGCCCTGTTGTTAATCTTGGTGTCAACGTTTGATCCTTTTAACTGGGCCCTGGCAGGTTTTGAGGCAGGGCGTTGGTGAATGTGCCATTCCCAGGGCCCAGGTGATGGTGGAAGGTGCGGGGGCGAATCATTCTCTCAAACCTCAGGTGCCTCATTGGAGACAGATACAAGCCCTACCACACCCTAACCACCCCTCCGCAACCGCACCCTCACCCCCAGCCAACCCTACCCCCGCCCCTCCCCAAACATAGCGTTCAATCTGGGTTCGGGATCTGAGCCTAGCTCTTTGTTTCATCGTGACCAATGTTGTCATCTCCTTCCCCCGGTCCATCCACAGGCTCCAGAGCGGCCTCTCAGTGTGAATGGTATGGACACGGCTGACCTTCGACCATTTGACCTGGTCATTCCTTTCACCATCAAGAAGGGCGAGATCACAGGTGAGAAGTTGGGGATTATCTTTTCTTTTTGTTCCTGGGCATTTCCAGCTAAACCTGTCTTGGGGCCTGGATGAGAAAAGGTTCAGGTTTCGGCCTAAAGCAGGTCCCATTCAGGCCTCCCTCCTCGAGCCTATTACACAGGAATAGGAGGCTATTCAGCCCCTCTCCTCGAGCCTGTTACACATGAACAGAAGGAGGCCATTCAGCCCCCTCCTCGAGCCTGTTACACATTCCACAAGTTCGAACTGCTTTTGCCTCACTGCATTCAGAAAGGTTTCGTGATTGCAAACCCCCAAACCTCTTGTTCAATATATGTACCTCCCCAGGCCCCTTCCCCGACATGCCTGGGGCGAAAGGAACGGGCAGCTCCTGAGGATAACGTCCTCCCAATTCGCCTGCACGTGGCTTGAAATGACCCCAGCTCCTTTAGCTTGGAAAGAGATGAAAGTTCAGGGTGTCCTTGAGCAAGCCCCTTGGTGATCTCTCCCTATTAATGTACAGCCTCGACACTGTCTCATTAAGTGATCTTGTGTGCGGAACCTGATCCAATGTGTTTTGGTAATCCGAAGGGATTATATCTAAAATTACCCCCTCTATCCACCTCAGAGCATTTGAGTGAACCTCTGAGACCTGGTTTACCTTTGCAGACACTGAAGCTGGTGACAGCCAGAGATCTTCGGCCAAGCTTTGAGACGCTGGTGCGGAGAGTTGACATGTTTATGTTTCTCTCTCTCTCTGTCTGCCCCTCACTTTCTCTCTCTGGTTTATCAGGGGAGGTCCGAATGCCATCCAAGTTAACGGCCAAACCGGACATTGTGGACAATAAGGACGGAACTGTGACAGTGAAGTTTGCCCCCACTGAGAAAGGTCTGCACGAGATGGACATCAAATGTGATGGCAACCACATCCCAGGTGACGGAGCGCCGCACTGTCGGAGGGTCAGCGCTGAGGGGGTGCCGCGCTGTGGGAGAGTCAGCGCTGAGGGAGCGCCGCGCTGTCGGAGGGTCAGTGCTGAGGGAGGGTCAGCGCTCAGGGAGCGGGCACTTTTGGAGGGTCAGCATTGAGGGAGGGTCAGCGCTGAGGGAGCGCCCAGCTGTCGGAGGGTCAGCCGTGAGGGAGGGGCAGGGCCGGGGGAGCCCCGCGCTGTTGGAGGGTCAGCATTGAGGGAGGGCCGCGCTGTCGGAGGG